GTGAGCGGACGTCTCAGTCTCAATGATCGCCATCTGCAACATAACCGCAGCCGGACAGCTGGAACGTCCGCAACAGTTTCGGATTCCAGCACTTGGTCACAAGGCGTTGCTTGGCGCCCAGGCAACGGAATTAGTAGCAACGGCCCTGTGCAGGCCGCCCCCAGGCGCGTGGCCAACTCTAGTCCCAGCAGTGCAGCATCTCCTTTCCCGTTCTATACGAAGCCCGAGCCCATTGTTCTTGGTACTTCATCTCAGTTGCATTCCACTGCGAGCAGTGTTGGCATCGCACCACGGCGTCCTCATAGCGTGGCAGCTACTCCTACTGCCTCTGCCACTGGCTTGTCCCCTTACTCGTGGTGTTCCGCTGACAGCAGTTGTCTCCAGACAGGCCCCCGGCGACCTCATAGCATTGCTTCCAGTCCCGTATCTTCCAAAGGACCAGGTGTTCCAAGCGCCCGGCCCCGAGATGGTCCCGTGGCATTATCTTCTTCCTACGGTATTCTGCACCAACCAATCCCGCGTCGTCCTCACAGTATCGGTACTTCAATCGCAATCACACCACCAACACCATCCGTACCCAGCACGAGGACAGAAAATATTCCACAACAGCAGATACCTCGAAGACCGCTCATTCCCAGTTCCAATTCCGTTCCTATCCTTCCGTCTGCTACATCGTCCCCGAAAGCAAAACTTGGCAACTCAATGCAGCAACACACTCCTCGTCGTCCGCAAAGCGTGGTGGTTACACCCAGTTCCTCTGCCACTCTCCCTCACGTCACAACCGCCACACCTTCCTGCGTTTCAATGATTACTACGGGCAGTTCTCACACATGGTCGTCGTCCAACAACCAGCAGCGGCGGGTGGCGACCACTGCAGCAACACCAACTTCTGTTCCAGTTACTCTTAGTCCTTCAGACTCCGGCTACCGTTCTTTGCCGCCAGCCACGAGCGATTACCAGATCCTCAACTCTTCGCATGTCACGCACAACTCTACCACCAGGCGCCTTTCCCTCCCATCCACATCGGCACAGGTGGCCCTGGGTTTGCAGACGCCAAGGCCAAGTCCCACTTTCCACGGGCTCCCTTTTCTTCCTGTCAGACCACTAACATGTGGGTTGTCGCCAAATGGCAACCCCATCTTCCTCGGTTGTACTCATCTGCACACCCCAAACAGTAAGACAAACACCCCGGCGACCACTCCCAGCAACACGGTGGCTTCCACGGCGCAGGCCTTGCAGCAGCTGTTACTGCAACATCCTCGGAACGGGTTCAGGACCTTGGACGACAAGGTGAACTTGTTCCTCGAGATCCTGGACACTCAGGAGCGCTTCGAGCAGGTGCGCCACCTCAGTAGTTGCAGTAGTTGGATTGTAGTGACATTGCTTAGATATCTATTTCCAACTGTACGCATTGTTTGTTGCGTGGTGTGCGGTGCGGGGTGGTGGCCGGGCAGGTAATGGAGAACGCCGTTATCTGATAACAGTCGCCCATCAACATGCATCAGTCAGTGAAGCACATTGAGATGCCACGAGAATTTCTCGATGATCAGAAATGGGATGTGCACCATGACTTAGATACGCATTGCAAAAGTAGAAATGAGTCTAATCGGAAGTCGCTAATAGTTGTTATTTTATTGGACGGAAACTGCCCATGTACTAAGAAGTCAGATTTGTGTTGAGTGGATTTAACGCAAAATGTTTCTTTACACACGATAATAGATAACAAATGTTAATTATAAAAGTTTATGTTTTCTTAATTTCGCTCACTATTTGCCCTTTTCTCTCTCCAGCGTGTTCATTTTTAGTAAAACTGGACGACCGTTACTAGAACCGCTGAAGTGAACCCGTAGATGCCTCTCGTGGCGTGGGCCGTGATTTGAACGTAGCTCTAACAACCGCAGAAGTTATTTAGGGGCAGAGATGTTACGCTGGTCGTGACAAAGAAATAATTACACACAGTAAATTAGAAGGACTGAAGAACAGATTCTGTTTATTTAGGAATTATCCTTTAGTACCTGAAGGACACCGCAATTGCTTTGCCGAAACACGGCGCAGTTACTGTGCAGATACATTAATTCTTCTTGCAGGGATTTTTCTGCACACGTGTTCCTGTTATGTTAATGGATCCCATTTTAAGCGGCAGAGGGGCGAAGAGTGAAGAATCACGAAGTGCGGACAGAAAGCAGAGTAGTGTTATTTTAACGTACTGTCCACACGTGTTCTCCCAGAGAGTAAACATCCGTCTCAGGACCCTCGGTGTAGGGTTTAGCATCGACCTAATGAAGTAAATAGAAGTAGGCTTTTAGAGTCTCTTGTACTGTGAAACTATTATAAATATTCGATGCATCTCCTCCCCAAAAGCCGAAGATTTGCATTAAACTCCGTCTTGCGAAAACATAAGGTCAAGTATTATAAATTATTTACCAATGCTGTGAAAATTCTATATTTGATTTGAATGATGTTGTGATGACAACAGCTGAAATTATTTTAACACGGAGTTTTCAAGACCTGTTTTAAGTAATCATTCTATCGTTATTTTGAATAACTGAGGAAAACAACGATAAACTCTACATGTGCCATGCAACCGAGATTCGAATTGATTGCCTCGCGGGCATGAGGAAGGACTGAAATTGTCCATTCCAGGACGTTCGATATCTAAGATACTTGAAAGTTATCGGTCAGTGTTCTTCCGCTGTTCTTCGGACGTACTGTCTTCCCTTCACAGGCATTGAAGTTTGCTGTAAGTTGTTAATCCCTGTCCTCGATAAACCATTTTCATCCTAAAACACATATGAGCTTATGTTTAGTCATGCCGAGTCATTTTATTATTCACTGCTGTTAGTTCATGCTATGTTTATTTAGTCTGTCATATACAAGTCTCAGATTTCTGAGGAATTATCCTACCGACTCTTATTAGCCTGATGGTCTGTTTACTCTTCACACAGTTTTGTTAAATGCGCGATAAAATTAAATTTGCTCCTATGTATAAATGGTTCCCTACAGGAGTCCCGCAGAAATTTAAACATTCTACTTTTTTCAATTTTTATGTTTTTAATTGGCTTGTCGTACTTAATATTATTAATTTCACTGCAATGATGCATCTAAATCATTTCAGGATTGTCAAGTATTTCATTTTCAAAATTTTAATGGTGGGAAATATGATATGGATACTGTCAGTGAAAGAAAGTTGACAATCTGTGTCTTTAAAGGTGTATGGTGGAATGGAGGTAGAACACGCACTAGAGGAAGATGAGAGCTTGAGTGGACACCGGAACTGAAACTGGTCTGAACATAATGCAAAAGAGAGAAATCTCAGAATCTGTCTAGAATCGAACACACGTGTTCCAACATGTAGTCAATTACTTTATTGACAAGAGCTGCCCACTTCGCCTCATAGTATTTTAGTGTCATTGAATCGGGATCATAGTGGGTGTGAAATTTAGCACGTTTGGGGGAAGCAAACAGTTTTTCTTTTCCAAAAACCTCATGGAAATAGTATTTCAGGATTCTAGACGCAGAAGCGAAAATATCAGAATGCGTCTTAGAGAATAGGGCTTGGAGATGTGAGTTGTATTTAACCGGCTTCCGATGATTTAGTAATCGGTTTTTGTGATAACATTTCATTTAATAACAAGGAATTTGTTTATTGGATGTGATATTCTCATGCTCGTGGAGATATCGATGTTGATTTGAAAGACTGAAAATTGAGGTAGTATTTACCTCCGAATTCTACACAATTCAGAAGACCATCACCAACAAGAGATTTCTTAAGATTGCTGTCTTCTGGGTTATTTCGCCGTGTAGTCTGGTAGATTTCCACCTTTGTTGGTGGAAATCTATCAGACTACACGGCGCAATACCGGAATCACCGCTGTGAAAACCTCAAATCCTACAAGACATTTCTTGATTAGATAAATAGCAGCTGCTGACGAAAGACTTTGTATGCATCCAGCTTACAACTTAAAATGGCAAACTGACATATTTTCTGGCATCTTGTTGTGTAAGGTGAATCGGAATTGTGTCAGCACTCAGTAACCTTATAACAGTTATCACCATTATCATCACTTAGGCACGCTGTAATGAAACCATTTATTATGGGTTTTTTTTTTCTCTCTCTCTCTCATAATTGAGCCTGTTATATTCTCCTTGCGTCTGTCCCCATGTACCAGCACGAATACCGCTTAGCACCTTCATGAAACTTGATAACGTATTATGTTTTTGGCAGAAAATAATCTGTCAGAATTTTGAAAATATAACTCCTGTGACTCGTGCCTCTTCTTTGAAACTTCAGTATCATAAACAGGCCCTGAAGAGCTAGTATTTTGTGTTTCATTACGCCCCAATGTTTGAAAATCATTGTATTGCTTATTATTTTCTCCTGGACATGAAGTGCTGTTTTCAGTGTTTGTGTTTACAGGTTCTAATAAGCGGTTTATTATTTGAGACACGAATTCTGTATACACTCTGATCTGTTTGTATAGAATCTCCTAGGCACATGCGTAATGGTGTGGGCGAAGAGACTTCGTGTTACTATATAGACCAACGCAGCTCCGAGCAAAATCAATTTTGTGTACGCTGTAGCTTATATCTTCACATTGCCTCTGGTATTTCGAAACGCATCTCTTTATAGGCTCTACTTATTGCCTCTTTATTTTTTCAAAGTGATATTTCCAGACGTAATTTATATGCAGAAACTTTCTTTGAATATTCAGTTAGGTAAAGTTATAACAATATCTTGATCGGAAAGTGCACATCTATCTAGCCCGGGACCGAATCGTATTCTTTTTTGATATAATACAAGCGCATGACGAGAAGAAAATTAATCGGAACTTCGCGGAATATGTAATAGCCTCAATTCTGTGCTTGTCCCCCTTTGGTTATAGCCTACCTGAAGACTCCATTATAAGTTGCAGTTCTTTTTCTCGGCGCGATAATGGATTTAAAGGCGTTCAGCGAACTTTGTTGGTTTTGCAGGATTTTGTTAACGGAAGGCGGGAGTGAGTGACTTAAATTTCCCTTAGGTCTCAGGATTGGATGTTTTCCCGTAGGTGAGTCCAAAGATGAAGGCAGCAAGGACCTCTGAAACCTTTGTAAATTTCCACCAGACTACACGGCGCAACAACCAAGAGGACATCCATCTTCTTCCCCTAGGTCCACATCTGTTATCCAGCGTTTCTTTAATTTTTGTGTCGTTAATCTGAGGCGATCAACCGAATAAGCTAGCTCAAAATGCAAGTTTCTTATTTGAATTCGTTAGGTGTCCAATTCAAATCTCGGTCTGGACATTGACTATCCCGAGTGAAATGTTTGTTAGTGTTTTTCAGTTCATTTGTATGAATACCCAAGATGTGCCAAATTATCTCTGTGCCAGACCTTTGAAGTTCACTGATTTTGGTGACCTCATATGATTAGAAGTTTAATATCTTTCCGCACTGGATACAGTGTAATTAAATGACCTGCGATTCGTTCCCCCCAACGCGAATTGAGGATACGAGTATAAATGTGAGTGGGATGATCCTTATCCTGTTGAAAGCAGCCGCTCCTCTCAAATGTCCTTCGGGCCGCCCAGTAATGCGTTAAGACGCTGTTGTTGGCTGTTGTTACTAGCTACTTCCCGTCTTCACTTTTCAGCCAGCAAGTATAATGCCGGAAATAGCTCGGTATTTGGAAACGATGCCTGGTAACCGAGTTCCGAACCGGAATATAAAGCAAAGGCTGCGGGTATAAGACGTCGGACGAAAGGGTGGAAGGAAGGATTTTAATCCTTGCATACCGGAACAGGCTCTGGGCTTTTAATCCTTGATGCTGATGGGCGTTCATGATATCCCTCATGATTAATACGTATGTCTTTATACGATTTAGACAAGTGAAGACACTGATGATGTTCGCGTGATGACGTGCAATCTGTTCATCAGAATTATGGGTAGCTGTCACCAAAATATATCCGAGTCTGTGCTTTGGTGGAAATGAAAAAGACAGACATTTAATGAATGGGAACTCTGCAGCATGCCGTTTGGTCTAGTCAGTGACACTGTGAGATGCCATTGCTTGTGCGAGACAGCTGTTACATTTGTGTGGATATTTCTCTCCCTCCCTTAGTAGTTCAAGTTCAGACACGAGTATGGAAATGCTTTGCGTTTGTGAACAACTTTTATGGAGAGGATTTGTGAGCTTCACAACTAGAGTTCATTTAGTGTTCATGCAATTGCGTTGTTTCCACGAAGTGCATAAAATAAAGACATGATTTGAATTGAAATGTCTGTCCGCGTAGTTTTCCCCTGCAGTTTTTCAGTGTATTTTTATTACGTTGTGTTTTGGTGGTCTACGTAAAACGTTAT